GACATGAAAATTGACAGAGATATTTAAGTTTAGTATAAAAGACAGTAATAATACAAGCCCTAAATACCAAGGGACTTGTTTCATGTGTAACTCTGTCTTGTAGTGTGGATATTGAGAGAAGCATTAGCCAGACGAGCTAGGCCAGGGTGCAATACTGCAAGAGATACTGCTCCCTTTTTACACACACGCACGCACGCACGCACACACGCACGCACACACGCACACAATTTATGGCTTGTTTGACAACTATGCTTGCTGTGAGTGTGCGCGTTTATAGTGTGCGTGTGTAGGACAGCAGGCAGGGAACCAATAGAAAAGCAGTATGAAAAGGGCTGGGCATGGTTTCATAGGTGCACATGGACACACACACACACACACTGGCTGCCAGTTTTATTGAGTGTGTGGTGTGACAGACAGGGAACTGAATCCTAGGCTGCCGAGTAGGAGGAAAAATATTTGGTAAAATGTCAACGGTAAAACCTGGTGAAACCAGGTGAAAGCTTTGTCCCTGTATTGTTTCAAACTTGATATATTTTAATTTATGAGAGGAGGCAGTTTAGTAGACTGCACTGTATAATATATTGCATAACGAGGGGTAAGAGGTAATGATTTTATGGGTGGTTAAAGCAGGTAAATGACTTCCAGAATGACTATTTCTTCGTGCATTTCATTGGTTCGTGTGGTGCCTAATTGTCTGTGCTAGGCGTTAGCCTGTGGGCAGAGTATGTGTTTGGTGTGTGTGTGAGAGTATCTTTGTGTCAATTAGTTTGTGTGTGTCTTTCTCTCTCTGTCTGCGGCTAGTCTCACATGTCCTTCCTCATATTTCATGTGTCCATTTATGAATGTATGTTCGAAAAACCTCTCGATGTTATTGACTGTTTTATACCATACTGGATAGTGGACCCCTCACTCCTCTAAAAAGGCTGTCAGGGGCCACTAGTGGTCAACAACTGCAGAAGCAAAAGCTATTTCTAGCAAGGCTAAATAAATGCCTTACCTTTCTACACATTTTAGCCTTGTTCATTGCTCAAATCTGCCATCCAAAGTGCTCTCTTGAACCAGAGTGTCTGCAGATGAATCCCTCCCCTCATATGTTCTGATCCACCAAAGCATTGCCCTATACTGTAAGAGATATATTCATCTCTATTTGTGTAATCATCGTTTCCATCTTGACTGTAAGGGAGGGACAGTGCTGTGACACTGATAAGAGTGGATACGTTTACAATGCTAATAAAGTTTTTAATCTAACCCAGGGCTCTCCAACACGTCGATCGCGAGCTACCGGTAGCTCGCGGGCAGCTTTTCAGTAGCTCGCCGCTCGATTATCGATTATTGCGTAGTAAGGTTGCTTATTGATTTTTCGGCCGCGGCTGGACAATAACGTTTTTTTATTTTAGAATTGTTTCTGTCACACGAATATCAAATGGTCGGTGACGCAGAGATCTAGGAACAGACGTGACAGCAGCACAGCGACACCACACACGGAGCAGTCTGCTTTCTCCACCAACACCAGTCCAGAACCAACAGCAGAATGACCCGCTCTGAATCAGGCCCTGTCGCTGCGGCTCAGAGACACACAGGGAGGGATTTGTGTTTTTTGAAAAACACTCGTTATCGTCATGTCAGGTTTTTGGTGGATTTAATCAAGTCTTGGATTGCAGAGTATGAATGTCCTCTTGCTATTTTCAGTTGATAAATACTTGTGTAAAGTTTGTGAAGGCAGGAATAAAGCTTCCGCGATCACCGTCTCCTCTCCGTTCCTCCAAACCCCGCCCCCTCCCTGAAAATAATGAGTGACAGGCTGATAGTGACCCGATAGAAACTTTATTATTCACTTAATCACTGATTGAGATATGATGAAGCTAACCTAATCTCATACATTCATGGGATTTATGTAACAGTAAGACAGAGAATGTAAGTGTGCACCCACATGCACTATTTTTGTTTTTATAATACTGTTGTAAATACTCCTGTTGTCTGCTGTGTTCAGACTTAAGTCATGTGTGTGATGCCACATTCAGGACATTCAGTGTCTTTTTTTTAACAGAAGACCGTAGCTAGAAGCTGCAGCTAGACTGCAGAAGCATTAGTCTTTTGTTTTTGAGGATGGAACCATTTTCACACACAGATATAGGGAGGCTAGACCTATACAATTGATTTATTATGGTTTATAATTTAATGTCAAGACGAAGAAGAAGAAGAAAAAGATGGCTGAACAACTGTTCAGTGTCAATCCTGTGGAGATCTCCAAAATAATGTTCAGCTTAAGTCTCAGCAAAACTCACAACATTTCTGGAGCCTTGTAGACCCCGAAAACTATAGAACATTCACCAAGCAGCACTGAAAATGTCTGCTTTATTTGGTTCTGTTCTACATACCTTTGTGAAGCAGCTTTTTCTGACATGAATGAAATCTAAATACAGAACAAGACTGACTGAAGAACATTTAAATGACTCTATTAGAGTGAACCTAATGGGTACACTCCAGCATACACCTGTATGGTGGACTGCCAGTGCCATTCATCTCACTAACAAAAGAGTGAAATGCTTGTAAGGTGGTGATTAAGGACACTTATGTGAATGTTAAGTGATGTACTTATTACGTGGGCCATAATAATATGTGAGAAATCTTCGTTTTCTTGGACCTTGATGTGAAGTTAAGATTTTTGATAAGCTTTAGGTATTGCAATTTCACACGTGTACAAAAGTATAGCTTAATTCAACTGATGAGGGCTATGTGAATAAATGTAAGCGATGTGATGCAAGTAGCTCTTGGCCACTTTCATTTTTTGAAAGTAGCTCTCAGATGAAGAAAGGTTGGAGACCCCTGATCTAACCAATACTATTTTAAGCCATTTTGTACACAGAAACTGAAACACGTGTTGCTATATTGACCAAAATGGAAAAGTTTAGAAAGCTTGCATTGATAATATTGTGTACTTATTTTTCAATTTTCTTTTCTTCAGATATTTCCTGATTTAAATCATTTTCAATGATTGCATTTTAAATATTTAACTCAAAGTTGAGCATGTTTAAAGCAACATCAACTTAAATGGGTGATGAGTTTCATTTGAATTCACATTCAGGTAACATCCTGTACAGCATGACGGTCACAAGTCAGAGAGCATGAAGCAGACGGTATGCTGATCTTGTGAATGACAACACTCTCTCAAATACACACAGCTTATTGTACATAGACTTTTTAATAACAAAATGTTAGATAATTACTGTGCCTTCTCTGCTAAAGCTGAGTTATCAAAGTATTCATCTTGTGTGTTCAAGTCTTTTGTTGTACTTTCTGTTTTGTTAGTGTGTGTATGAGTTTTTATCCTGTATGTATTTATTTGTAGACAAGATGTTATATAGGTTTCACATGTGAGTGTGTGTTTATTGAGTTTGTCTGAACTTGGTACAAACAAGATAAAGTGTGCTTTAGTATCATGCCTGTCCCCAGGGCCTCGTTGTCACATGACCTCATTTTGTGTTGCCAAGACGATACCTTGTGTCAGGGTTCAACCTAATGCTCCGATCTGGCCCGTGACCTTGGTACGTGTCTTTGTCGCTATGGTAACAGCCTCCGGGGCTACTGTAAGTGAGACGAGTACGCTTGACGCTCGCATGGAGCATTTAGTTCTGTGCTTGTGCATTAAATGAGGCACTTTGCTACATTTATTTACCAAGAGAAGATTAACTCGCTCCATTACAGGAACACCCTGCAACAAGGTCATAAAAATAGATTTACACCTGCGTGACACATGATACCAGAGTCTTATGCTCCAAGCTACTGCAAAATAACTGCAGTAGTTTGATATGAAGAGCTTTGCATTGTAGTTGTAAACAGAAGATTAGTGAAACTCTTAAGTGTTTAACTCACTTCTTAAATAGTATTTATGTTCTTTAATTATGATAATACAGAGTAGAAAAAAGAGAAGTGGGGTACTGTTGTAAGAGAAGTGTTGTTACAGGACACAAATACATTGTATTTATGAGTTTATTATTATGGTCAACTAACAGTTTATATAAAAGAGCTTTATAAAACTGCATTGAATCAGTGTGTCACATGTTTATCTGTGCTTTTAAGGAAAAAACATTAACCATTTTAGCTCAGAATTCAATTTAACATGAATTCTCCATCAGGCTAAGACCCAAACAAAAGAAAAACCAACAACAACATTTTGTTTCTAGAACAATACTAGTTTGCTTTCCATTTAATCATATTAGCTCTCAGTTTACCAGAGGCATTTGGTCAAAAGGAGACATTGTCCTCACCAGACAGTTAACAAAGTTCATGAAAGAAACCTTAATGCCTCCTAATGTTTTTCTTTTTTCTTTCTGAGGAGGACACACGCCTCAAAGCAGTGTCTCATGTGGGTAAACAAAGCGTGGTTGCCATGCCGATGGGGCGTCGATATATAAATAGCATGGGTGTTTGTTCTGAATAATCTTGAGAGAGAGAAAGAGGCAGGGAGTTGCAGGGAGACGGTGATAACTACGGTTCAAAATCTAAAAGTACAGACAATTACAGACGCACATGCATTATAACAGACCTGTAAGAAAAAAAAGATTTCGTCCACTATCAGATACTAATATACAGATGTTATTTTTAAACCTTGTGCTCTGGGGGACTCTGTCAGGTCAAGCCTATGTTGGCAATTAATGTGCATCCAAAAGGATTCTCTTATTTAGAGAATTAAGAGAATGTTGGTATAGCTAAATGTTGCAAAAAGCACACCCATTGATGTTGCTTTTAAGTTTTTCATCAATGTCAGTGTTGAAATATTAATAAACCATCTTGGTAACATTATAGAGCTAACTGAACAGATGAATAAATTCTTCATTTGGAAAATAACATTTGGCTAAAGGTTAAGCTGATGATTGTTATTACATAGCAGGGGGTTCTGCTTATTATGCAGTGATAATTGAGCTACTGTAGAAAAATAAAAAGCCATATCAGGAACACTTAGAAAATGGTGTTAATGTTTCCGCTGTGTCTCCCTGTAGGGAATGGTGACAGCGCCTGCAGACAGACAGACGTGGACAGACAGGCACCCGGAGCGCTGCCCTCCCATTGGTGGAGAGATCCAGACTTCACAGCAGGAAGTGCAGCTCCAGTCGGTTGTCAGCTCTCCACTGAGCAGCAGGCTCCACCTCCTCCACCCAGGAAGCTGTGCCCCCCCCCCGCTCAGGTAGGGAGAAAGCAGAAAGAGTCCAACCCATACTATGTGTTTGTTTCAGATCAGATAATCACATAAACGTTTGGTTAGTTTGTTCAAACTAACAATCAAACTCTGCATTCACATCACAAACAAACCGCGCCACAGTGGAGCTTTTGTGATAACAAAACATAAAACCTATCAGCTGATTTTAAACAGTATTTACATAGTGGTCATATAAGCTTGCATAAGAGATTGAAATACTAATGCAAGATCATTTGGTAACCAGGCATTTCCATAATCATTTCATTTCCCTGATCAATCAGACTGCCAATAGGAGTTTTAACTTTGCTGACCGATCATATTTCTATTTTTTTGTCAAAAAGCTATGGAATCAAGTGACCACAGAGTGATTATGCAATGAGTACAAGACGCTTCTCTTTCAGCTGTTTCTACATTTTTATAAATGTTTTTATTACATACAAGCTCTAGTTGTAGTGTTACGAAAGTACTTTCTTTTCATGAGCTGTTTCATGTGACACCAGATAGGATAAAAACATGAGATGCAGCGAGGTGTTGCATGACATGCTGTGGATGAGCAGAATAACAGATGTGAAAGGGACTGTAGATCAGCAGACTTAACTGACTTTTCTTCACAACAATAAGAGGCATTATCACATTGTTTTCAGATGATCCACTGACAAGAGAAAGAGAACATTATTAGATTGGTAAACCCAGCTGTGTTATTTTATCTGCTTTAGATCTGCAAAGAAGACGGAAAAATAATTGCCATGGATTAATCATTAAAACATATTTTTCATGCAAAAGGCAGATGTTTTCATCCCTTTCCCATATGGAGATATCCTGCTTTTCTTTGCTTTACAGTATATCATGAAACCCAAACTCTCTCGGTGTTGTACTGACAAAAAAAAATACATTTAAAGACTTCACCTTTGACTTGACAAACAGGGATGGACACATTTCACAGTTATTTGACATTTTATAGAACCAATGATCGTCATATTAATCCATAATTTAATATAGTTCTGGCTGCAGTTAGCTGTCAGTGTTGGAGTTGTAACATAGCATAGTCAGAAGAACTGATGTGCTTATGTGTGTTTGTGTTTATGTGTTTTCCTGTAGAAGATAAACTTGTCTGGGCCTGTCTGAGCTCCCCCCCCCTCTCTTCCTCCATGTGATTTGTCTGATTGTATCCTTTGCTTTCCTGACCTTCCCACTGATGTCTTCTCTCCCTCTAAACTCCCTCCATTTCACTGTCTCTATCCTCTCTTTATCTGAGCTGCCTCCTCTCTTCCTCCTCTCTGTTTCCTCACCCTCCACACGTCAGCCCTTTATCTCCGTCTCACCAGCTGTGTGCTGCAGCTCTCCTATGGGGGAGAGTAGACTGAATAGAGGGGCTTACTGAGGACACTGAGAAAGCCAATCCCTGCCTTTTCGTCTCCTCTCTCGTGTCCTTTCCTCTGCCCTAAGACTCGGCTGTGACCAATCCCGTGTCCTCTGCTTTCTGCTGCTCGTTGTGCCTTCAGCGTCTCAGATTTTGAAGTATTTCAAGACAGGATGTGAGGTAAAGATATTTCACAAAAACAGAAAATACAGACTGGATGTTTTTACACATTTCCATGAATTTACAGATATTCAGAAGATGAATTGGTTCAAATAAATCACTAAACTCAAAGAGAAGTGTCTTTGGAGTCTCTTACGAGTTGCAGCTGCTTTTGACGAAACAGTATTTTGTTTATACCCTTCAGAAATATACGGTTACACTTGACTCACCAACAGCATCATTAGATTTGCCGCCAGCGTGCCTGGGGACTTATCTTCATAACTATACAAATATGTTTTGAAGTACAGACTAATTAGTTTATTAAATTCATTTTGTACCAAATCAGAGAGGGGAGGTGTACATTTTCTTCTGAGAGAAAATGTAAAGGAAAGGTAATGTACAGATGAAAGAAGGGAGATAAATAAATGACATTTCAGAATATAAAGTAGTCTTATACATTTTGTTTTGTTTCTTTCTCACTCACAAAGATCCTACCTTTCCTTGCCCTCCGTCTCTCCTCCCCGTCTCCTCCTTTATTCACCCGTCACTCTTGCAGAATGGTGATTACACATTTACACTCCCTGCTTCTTTCTGCCTTCATTCGCTTTTGTAAATGTACCGTTGACAGTTGCTTTTCTCTGAGCAGAACGCCTCAGAAATGAGCAGATGGAGGGCTGACAGTCAAACAATGACGCTGGGCGGTAAGTCCCCGTGATCAACACATGTCAGAAAATGGCTGTTAATGGAGGGACCATATACAGTCTGTCAGCCTTCTCTATAGGGGATGGATCCATATTTGTCTAAGTGCCTGTTGAAGATGTAGAGTCAGAATACAATCACTTAAGCCTTAACAAAAGCATCAGGATGTTTGGCATGTGCCTTATGTTCTATCCTCATGGCTTACAATAAGTTAAACTGTAGAATAAGCTTATGTTACAAGAGACAGAGCTCACTGCATGTCATACATATTACACTTTCCTTATGAATGTGAGTAAAGATTATTTTTAACTTTAGGGAAAGAACTATTTTACTTTTTGTGTAAAGCACGGCAATACAAAGATTATCCAGAAGACTATTTATCTTATATTTGTTCATCTCACAATGTCTATACTTAAGAGAAAATGACATGTCAATATTGTATTATTGACATATGGTTGTAGACTGGGATTGCTGTTTTCAGCCGCATTTGAACAAATATGACTATTTTAAAGAATGGGGTGATTAAACAAATAGAATTTAAATGGTGGTTAAATGTGCAATTATGATAATTTAGTGTAAGTTAGTTGAGTTATTTAATAGTCAGTAACCGGTTTGCCCAGCCATTTCAAATGATTTACACAAATGTCTGGGAATATGTTACTAAGTGTACTGGTCCATACATTCTTAATCATATATGACTTTCCAGGAAAAAACGATTACATTTGGGACCAAAATGTCCAATTGCTACACTCAAAAAGTGAATGCCTACAATTGTTACCAAATTATATATTTCTATCCAAGAAAATTGAAGCAATTAATAACTAGATGCTTCTTGATTTCATTGTGTTTTATTAAGTCAGTTGTCAACTCTACTGTACAGGATTCATAGAAATAAGAGACACCATCAGGCTTCTGTTTGCTTTCACATTGATCTGCTCATTAAGTCTCTTTCATTACTCCTTGACTGTTACTTTAAATTCAGTCCCCAGGGCTCATTTGCAAAATATGCTTTGCTTTTGATTTTGTTATCGCGTAAGTCAAGGAGAAAGAGTCAACTTTTTAAAGTGTTGAAGTGGAAATCTGACAGCTTTTTTATAGATTCAATCAATTTTCAGGGATTGATTTTTTTGTTTCATTTGTAACTGAAATGGCTCCTACAGTGGCTCTCATGGTTCGACTGAATGCAGCCCGCAGCAACGGCTCACAGTAATCATAAAAGATGTCAAATTACCAATTAACCCAGCATTGCTCTCTATAATAAAGCTTCAGGAGCTTTTAGATGTTCGACAACGCCAGAGGGTGTCAGTCCTTGAACAAATGCTCAATATAAAGTAAACTGAGCCTGTCCCTGTTGTTGGGCTTTAGACTGCACTCCTTTGGTTGCTGAATAACACCAGATAAGGTTAACGTTAATAACATTTAAATGTCAGGCATACAGAAAATTAATTAAAAGTCTCATAGGTTTCCTGTAGTTACTGTAAGAACCTGTTACATTCTGTTCAAAGTGTGGCCTTCAGTGTGTGTGTGTGTGTGTGTGTGTGTGTGTGTGTGTGTGTGTGTGTGTGTGTGTGTGTGTGTGTGTGTGTGTGTGTGTGTGTGTGTGTGTGTGTGTGTGTGTGTGTGTGTGTGTGTGTGTGTGTGTGTGTGTGTGTGTGTGTGTGTGTGTGTGTGTGTGTGTGTGTGTGTGTGTGTGTGTGTGTGTGTGTGTGTGTGTGTGTGTGTGTGGTGTGTGTGTGTGTGTGTGTGTGTGTGTGTGTGTGTGTGTGTGTGTGTGTGTGTGTGTGTGTGTGTGTGTGTGTGTGTGTGTGTGTGTGTGTGTGTGTGGTGTGTGTGTGTGTGTGTGTGTGTGTGTGTGTGTGTGTGTGTGTGTGTGTGTGTGTGTGTGTGTGTGTGTGTGTGTGTGTGTGTGTGTGTGTGTGTGTGTGTGTGTGTGTGTGTGTGTGTGTGTGTGTGTGTGTGTGTGTGTGTGTGTGTGTGTGTCCTTCTCTATTTTCTTGTAATAGCTGCGCTATGCTTTATTTGATCTGGGCCCCCGCAACACACACACGCACCTGCCAACTTGCTACGGCAGCTGCCCCAGAACCAAGGAGGTAGAGAAAGGGGGAAGGAGGAGAGAAAGTAAAATACATGAAGGTAGGCGAGGGAAGAAAAGAGACAGTTTATAGAAGAGTAACAGAGACAAGAGTAGTAACTTGCATCTTAAAATAAAGTATTATCTTCTGAAGGGGTTCTGGCCACAGAGAAGAAGTAATTACATCAGGACACATTCACTCATTGATTCATCTCCTGTCCTCTGTCGCCGTCCCCCTCCCGAGTCTTTCTCTCGGTCTCACTTCTGTCCCGCCGTCTTTACTCATGGTGCCACCCCCCTCCACACACCCTCTAACACACACCTACTGTTTCTGCACAGTCAGCAATTACTTAAATACCTTGCTCAGTTCATCCAGACTGCTGTTTTTATTTCTTGAATTACTTAGATGAAAAGAGAGGGATAGAGAGTAGAGGAGGAAGATAAACAAAGAGCGGGGGAAATAAATAATGGACCGGAGACTGCCTATTGTGTGTGCTCTGGAAAACAACAACTTAACAAGAGTACTTTGGAACAAATCAATTAAAGTGTTTTCAATCAAGGCCATTCTGTCAAAATGTTTTAGACATTTTACAAAATGGTGTAAATGTTAGTATGTAGGAAATTGTTTTAGATAGAAGACGATACAATAAAAGGACATGTTCTTGCGATATTTTATATCAAGCAACCTTATATGTGTGC